ACTTGTGAAGGTATCATCAATAAATTCTTTCTGACGACCTTCGAAACTACTCCACGGTAAGAAACGGATTTAAAATATAAAATTTTAAAGTCTATCAAGCATTAATATTTAGTATCACCACAGAAATATGAAGGCTTATAGCGTTTCTAGTCCACATTTGGCAGCATAGCACTTATTCTTTTTAGTTCATCCTTCACGTGAGGCTATTTCTGATTTAACCAAAAATTCCTTCAATTGCCCACTAGTATTGAACCCGACACGGCGTCATACTCCCATTACTGCGTTTCAAAGTATATGCGTTTTGCATTTCAAGGAATATTGCTTACTCTGATAAACTATGAGAAAGGCATTGTAAAAATAAAATTGTGCAATGTATGCAGGCATTTTTAGATCTTAAAGCAGTCCAAAATTAGAGTCTATTTAGACCGAAATATACCCTTTTACACATAAGCGGCTAGGAGTACAGCCCATAAGAAGAGACAATTACTGCAAAAGGAGTAAACATAATGAACCAATTCCTGTATTTTTTTGTAATAATTTTCAAACGATCCCTAAAGACCTTAAAATGAAGTGAAAATGCATACTACATTAGTAGTCATATTTAGAAAGTATGTTTCTTGCATTTCTCGATAATAAGCTTGTTCAAAAGCCAGAATCCTATCTTAACTGAAATATCTTTAAGTTTTGCTCTATGGCTTTTGCGGTAAAAGCACGTTTCAGAATTTAAATTGACATTTACTGAGGTAGCACAACTCGTGTACCTTAAATGCAGATGTGGCCCAAATATTGGCGGCTGGGATAAGCTAACAGAGAGGCACCCGGTTTACATAATATTCCAGAACGTTTAATTCTAAAATTCTAATGCGTTTTATGCACTTCGTCAGAATACCAAATCTGTATCAATCTGTTGTGAGGTTCTTTTAAAATGCCATTCTATTTTTGTCCCTGACTGGAATTTCACTTCGCCCTTAGGGGTTATTAATAACCCCTTTGCTTTAACTTTATCTCTCTATGCTTACTGTTTCAGTTAATGCAATGGCATAGGGTCATATCCTTCACAAATTTGCTTCTATGATGTCTCTCTCTTTTTTTTCCGGCTGCTCAAAGCACTTTCGAGTGGATGCCATTTTTGGCATTAGATGACTCAGCAGCTCACGCAACAGTAGTGCTAAACAGTGGTATCGACATAAATCAGCAATTTTGACGGGCATGTCTTAAGGCATAGTAACAGTGGGCCTTGGTGCACATCCAGTCGGCTTCTTCATCCAAAAATGGGTGATATGTGTGCACGCTGCACACAGCTGCTGTTAAGATGAGCTGGTCGAGTTAGTTTCTTCCAGACCAGGTGTCTAGACTGTGGTTGATCTACTTTGAGGGGGCGATTAGTAAGATGA